AATGCAAATGCATATTTTCTAAAAAAAGTCATTTTTAGTGAAATTTTGCCGGGAATGGGGCTTTAAACACTAATATATACGGGTCTTAATTATACAAAAGGAATAAATCGTTTATAGTAGAAATTCTGCACTTTCGAGTTGCTAAAAATGTTGGGATAATAGTTACAAGCTTCCAGTGTTAACAAGGTTCAGGCACACTGTTTTCACAATAAATTTAGCATCTGATAACCGTTGCACGCATAAAATCGATGGAGTGGTTACTGAGATGGCTACGAAATGTACAATTGTGTTTCTACCCGGTTTTGGTCCGGACACGTACCGCACTTGGAACAGCACTAGTGAACAGACAAAATTAATGACAGTCAATCGTAATTGTTGTTGTTCTTTCCACTCGCACTGAAAAGGGTGTTTTAACTACAGAAGATTGGTGACAAGTGTGGGGGACAATTTATATAATGCCCCACCCCTACTTTGAAAAGTGGGGTGTGTCCCCCTTTTCCCCACTGATCGACGCCCATGCACAGAACACAAGAACAACCGGCAAATTCGCAGGGCAAAATGACCAACCTTGACTTTCAGTTATTACTGTGCTTGTACAACATTTGGCAGTGGCTACTGTTACAGTAGTCTTAAAGCAATTCCTAATTCTAACGAGATGTAAAATTTTGTGTTTGGATTGGAGAAGCACATCAACATCCAATCAGAGTTAAGAATTCGTTTCAAGACGTGAAACAGTAGCTACATCTAGCTTTTTGCCTATTGCAGTATCATGCACACTACACGAAATTTAATTACGTATTATTTGTTATCAGGATATCATACTGAGCTGGGTAGCTGGGTGACACTACTGTATTGTTATCTCCATAGTACAGTAACAGTAGGTCTATTTGGACAAGATAAAAAGTTTCGTAAGTACAGGATCAGGAGTTGTTGTAGATAAGTAGGCCTATATATTGAATGTGATTTTGTCCGTGTTGGATCATCGTACATTATCATACGATTCATATAATCACTGTAATGTAAATAATTACCACTGTAAATTGAGCAGCCCCAGATAGTAACACTGTAATAAGCCCAAGATAATAGAAAAGTTACAAGAAATGCAGTAACTTTAACTACCATTTACTACAATGAATAGGGATAATTTGTATTTTCCACTTCTGCAATTTACATGGACCTACTTAGCCTGGAGACCATATGCGTATTAACTGCAGTTCATTAGAAATTTTTAGTTTGATCTTTTCATTAATTTAAAAATAACTAAAAAACAGAATACTATGCAGATGTATAAGGCATATATGGAACATTAACGTCATCAATAAATTTAAGGAAACCTCTTTAAGTGTTCCGATATTCCTCGTAGCACCGATAGGGTGTGTGGTTGTAGTTTCCTGATTAGGTCGGAAAACAAAATTCCCGAGAACAGGGAAGTGATCGGATAAATCTGATATAACTCGTGTTCTTTGACATCGTGGTGCATCTGGAAAGTGATAACCCGGGAACACAGAAATACTACAGACTTCAAAAGGCTGTGTTTTGGGGCGAAGGACTCGGACGCTGGCAGACGTTGGCAGCAAATGTTCGTTACTGTACAGCGCATAATCAAGCCATTGGGACGTGTTATCCTCTACAGGTGTGCCGGGAAACACGTCATTTAACGCTCTATCGTATGTATAATTAAGTTCACCTTTCCTTTCTGGTTCACTGGCATGCAGTGCATTGATGACATCTTCCGCATGGTTCTGAGTATCTACCCAATCACAGTTGAGATCGCCGACGTAAATTACTGGCTCATCTGCTGGAATATATTGTCGCCTTTGAAACATATACATCTCCTTAGCTTGTGCCAGTCTAACTGTCTGTGTATTAAACCTCTCTTGAGCTTGCATGTGCGTACCAAACACATGGTAACGTCTAGACATGCCGTAAACATTTTTATCAATTTCTACATACATTACTCCTTTTCCAGAAAGGAAGTCTGTTGTAGAAAACGCAGCTTTTTCAAACACGTGTTGCGCTTTTCTGATGATTGGCCAGCGAGAAGCTATGAAAACACCTCCGTTTTCAGGCTTTAAGATAGTTGTTGGTGTGCCAACAGTTTCTGTGTAGTACACATATCCATATTGCATCAGGATGTCTCTAATCGTAAGACTTTCATTCGAGAAGCATCCACCCATAAACACTTCATTAAATGATATAACATCAACTTCAGGATGTTGACTTACTAGCTCTCGAACAATTCGACATGTCCGTTCCCTTTGGCCACTTTGATAGTACAGGTAGCGTAATTCCCATACATTATACGATATTACGTTAATCTCATTCAAGTTATTTGGTGTTGTGAGTGGTAGGGCTTCTGGTGATGCACATAAAACTGTATTGTTTTCAACGCAGGGATCTTTGTCGGCACAGATGTATTCTAGTCCAAATTGTTGGCACACCGACGATGCTTCCCGGCTGCATTCGAAATCTGAAGTGATATGAAAATTAATAATATATCAATCTACAAAATAGTTACCTTTATAAGTGTGTATGCAGTTATTAAAAAGCAGTACTTTGACTGATTAAGAGTACAGTACTCCTTCCGAATCGCAACGTAATAATAATCTTTAACAATAAACGTCAAATTATGTCTACTCACCAACCCAAACACTTGGTCTGGTCCCTACAAACGATGTATCACAAGCTGTGGGGTCAAACAAAATTAGGTCTACTTAGTTACGAAGACACCTTTGATAATTAATTGAAAGTATGCTTGTGTAGGGTAAACTGTAAAGTCTAAAGTGAATTCTGTAAATTAACACGTCACGAAGAGACGGACTATTTTCTCTGTCTTTTTCTTTTCGGTTCTACTTAAGTGAATTTTCCAGACGACACTAGCAAACAATAACATTTCATCCATGATGACATATATGTTAGGTCATCTTATAATGAACAATACTATACCATCAGAGTAATGTACAAATGACACCCCACCCTCTTCACAATCTATCACTTTGGCGGGTCCCTGTTATTTTAGAAATCTATAAAGCCAGGCACCGGAGAAAAAATGGTAATTTTGCAAATGAATTTTCAGAGGTATTTTAAGAAACAATCTAGAACGGACGAAAACATAAACTATAGAACTTTCCCCCAGTTATAAAATATTCAAACAGGGCCAGCGGAACGTTTTTCAAAGTGGGGGGGGGGGGGGGAGGGGGAGGGCACTCTTTCTTTCCGATCATACACAAATCTGCATAGACATATGCACATTCGTTCCGCCTGCCATGTCAACAATTTGTATCTGTTCAAGATTATTTCTTCATCCAAACATTCCTTCAATGCCTTAGATTGTTCATTTGTACAACAAATAAAAATATTTCGCTCCTGAGCCTAAATTCGACGGATGTGATTCGATACTTTGAAATATTAATGGCCTAACTGAATTTTCACTCTGGATTAGGTCTACATTAGGCCTATTATTATAATCATGTTTATATTCATATTCACTATCGGTGCAGAGGCTGTCTCTTATACACATCTATTTGTTAAAAAACTGATTCTGACTGAGATTTTGACACTTAACATGTTCAGTGCTGCGCCAAAGTGCTAGGGCCTATATCGAAAGCGGCGTTATTAAAAGTTATCGGGATTTATGCTTTTCATTTTAGTCGTATCATCTTATATAAAAATCGTACGCCCAACGCGGTGATCGAGAACGCATTCAATAAATAGTACAGGGGCTGTCTCTTATACACATCTAAGCAGTACTTTGACTGATTAAGAGTACAGTACTCCTTCCGAATCGCAACGTAATAATAATCTTTAACAATAAACGTCAAATTATGTCTACTCACCAACCCAAACACTTGGTCTGGTCCCTACAAACGATGTATCACAAGCTGTGGGGTCAAACAAAATTAGGTCTACTTAGTTACGAAGACACCTTTGATAATTAATTGAAAGTATGCTTGTGTAGGGTAAACTGTAAAGTCTAAAGTGAATTCTGTAAATTAACACGTCACGAAGAGACGGACTATTTTCTCTGTCTTTTTCTTTTCGGTTCTACTCAAGTGAATTTTCCAGACGACACTAGCAAACACAATAACGTTTCATCCATGATGACATATATGTTAGGTCATCTTATAATGAACAATACTATACCATCAGAGTAATGTACAAATGACACCCCCACCCTCTTCACAATCTATCGCTTTGGCGGGTCCCTGTTATTTTAGAAATCTATAAAGCCAGGCACCGGAGAAAAAATGGTAATTGTGCAAATGAATTTTCAGAGGTATTTTAAGAAACAATCTAGAACGGACGAAAACATAAACTATAGAACTTTCCCCCAGTTTTAAAATATTCAGACAGGGCCAGCGGAACGTTTTTCAAAGTGGGGAAGGGAAGGGAGGGGGAGGGCACTCTTTCTTTCCGATCATACAAAAATCTGCATAGACATATGCAGATTCGTTCCGCCTGCCATGTCAACAATTTGTATCTGTTCAAGATTAAAAAATAAGAGAAAAAAAAGAAAGAAAAAAGAAAAAAATGATGCCTCAAATGTTATGTTCGGGCGTCAGAACACAAAGAGTTTGCGGGGGCATGCCCCCCAACCCCCTAGGACAGTGTTGTCTCGATCGGCCCAACTTTCGGCCCCCTTTCTGCCCCCCCTTTTGGACATTTCTGGATCCGCCCCTGCGGTCTGATTAAAAATGATTTCTATGCCTACCTTGTGAAACGCAGAGTAAGGTGTGACCACTCATTAAAATACTGAGTAAACGTACGAACACAACTGTAAACGCCATGATCGACAGTTTGGCACTGGACTGACTGGTTCCCTGGATGCAATCATTGTTATGCTGGACTCTGATCATCTCTTTGATAATATATCTGCATTTCACCTCTCTAATCGGTCGACTTATTTATTAGTTAACTCGATTCCCGATTTGTCATTCCGGGTGTCATTTTTTAATGCTCTTATTGTTGATTTATTTGTAAACCTGCTAAATATGGGAAAGTGATCAAATTAGATGTTCAGTGCTGCGCCAAAGTGCTAGGGCCTATATCGAAAGCGGCGTTATTAAAAGTTATCGGGATTTATGCTTTTCATTTTAGTCGTATCATCTTATATAAAAATCGTACGCCCAACGCGGTGATCGAGAACGCATTCAATAAATAGTACAGGGGCTTATGTAGTAAAATAGGCTCCAGTTCGCAATTCATGTTAATTTATGGCAACAATGTTTTTTCGACTCAGAATTTTATACTGAACAAGAAAAACGTTGGTGCCATTTTTTCCCGACAAAGTTAACTGGCCGCCATCTTGGAAAACAAGATGGCGAACGCAATTTTACCAAACTTAGTATTATGTGGTATCATTAGAAAGGAAATCATGCACTGAATATTTTTCCCATTACACTAATATGAAGAAATGCACAGAAACGGAGATATTCTACTTTTACCTTTACATTACAATAATAAACTTGGGAATGAAAATATAATTTTTAGTAGGCCTATGTCCTACCTTAACATGAAAAACCGCACGATCTTTCAAAGTATACCATATTTTTATCTAAAAGTTTTAGAGTGTTGTGTTGATTTTAACAAAGTCAGCAATGATGTAATTAACAATTACGAACAAATCCTAGAGCAAAATTTATGGGGAAATAAGAATATTACATTAAGTAACAAAGCTATATTTTTTACAAATTGGATTTCATCGGAGTTAACTAAAGTCAAAAACATAGTAAGTCTTTATCGATTATTTAACCCAACTGAAATCAAAGAGAAACTAAATGTAAAAAGAACCTAGCTCAGTGAATATACTACACTTATTGAAGCAATCCCAAAAGTATGGATAAACACAATAAAGCAATACTATAAAGGTAAACGAGCACGTGAGAACAGAGTGTACTGCAATCGACAAAATAGCAAGGATGAATACGAAAACTCTTTATTTAAATTTTGTCAATAAAATATTTAGTCCATCTCAGAGCATACTTAAATGGGATGGTGTATTCGATGATAAAATATAATGGACCAAAGTTTGGAGACACAAAGTAAAAAATGAAAAAAATAAAAAATATGCACAATTAAATTATAAGTTATTGAATCGAATTGTCCCTACCAATGCTAGATTATATAGATGGAATCTTAAAAGTACATGCAAATGTGATAATTGTGATGCCATAGAAGATGAGAAACATATGTTTTTTGAATGTCCACGTAACAATATATTATGGAAAAAATTGATAAAATATTTAAAAAAATTGATAATATTAAAAGTTATTTTAAAGAGCTCCTGTTGGGATGTGAGTGTGACATTAAAAACTAATTATATACAATTGGTAATTATTCGATTTATAAAATAAAAATATTAACTGAATTAAAAACGCCTACTTGTATAAATCCATGGGCTGTATTTAAGTCAATTGTAAAATATATAGATGCATTAGGTTTGTTATTATTTCTAAGTTTACAGTTGCACTGTATTTCAACATTTGTGTCATTGTCAATATACGCATACCGGTATAAATAATTTTATTGTAAAACAAAAAAAAAAAAGAAGAAAAAAAGAAAGAAAAAAAAAAAAGAGGTACTAACATTGTTATATCTTTTTCAGATATAACGCAGTGATAGTCAATGAGTGATATGTAAAAAGCATTTATTTATATAATTTAAAATTTTTTTATATAAAATTTTATTTCATGCTTTTATTGTATTCAACTATTTTATAGAAATGAGTGCGTTATTATCCAAAGATACGCTTTAA